GCGAGCGGGGGGGGCGGCGCGCCCGGCCCCCTGCGGGGGCCGCGGCCCCCAGCCCGCGGTCATCCCCAGTCGGCTGCTGCGGGCGCGCAGAGCGGCTCCGGCACTGTGAAGATGCGAGGAGGTGGGACAATGAATTTATAGCAGCGTGCCATCCTGCAATGGCAATTTCAACAATTCGTCACTGCACGCTGCCTCTTAAAGGGAGAGCTTCCCCCACCACTCCCACCCTTCCCGGTCCGCGCCTAATCCGATGGGGGAGGGCGCGGGGAGAGGAGGAGGGTGATGAGGAAAGAGAGACCAGGAAGGAAGAAGGGACCAGGATCTGGCAAGGTGAAAGGAGGGAGAAAGGAGGGAGCGAGAGTGAGAGAGGGAGAAAAAAAAAAAGTATTGGGGCAGGAAAACAAGGAAATTTCCTTGGCCTCATTTAAAGCCACAGCAACTCCGGGTCCGTGTGATATTTCACAACCAATCGGGTTGGCTAACCTCGCTTTACCTCATCTTCTGAAGGGGTGTTTTGGTGTTTTAAGAGTCTCCCCCTGCCTCCTTCCCATGCTGTGGGATGTGAAGTTCTTGTCCCCCTTTGCGGGCTGGTGCGCTCTAGTCTTGCAGACCTGGCAACTCCATGCACTGGCCAGGGCTTCCAGCTGCCGGTGCAGCCCCAAGGCTCGCTCTCTTTCCCCCGGGTTCCTCCAGCCGGTCCGGTAGCTGATTACCAGCCTTCTCATCTCCTATTTGTTCAAGCTTCAACACTTGCTGACTTCAGGCTACGGGTGACTAACTTCTCCCGGCCACAGAGTAGCCCTGCGGCCAGGGGTACTTCCTGGCGCGTCTCTGGACAGTCAGTGCTGCGGTGACCCTGACAGGGCCGACAGCCGCCTGGGAAGTCCTTGGCTCTGTGTATAAATGGCGGTGCTCCCGGCCTTCTTCAGTGCATAGTTGGTCAGTGCCCACAACTGGTCAGTTATTCCAGCCACTGACACTTTTGGAGCCGGTAGAATGTCAGGGTGGAAAAGAGTTAACTGTTGAAGGCAATTCTGCATTCCGCTCTGCTCTCAGACTTTGAAATCTTGGGCTCACACCTTCCCGCTTCCTTCTGAAAGGGTAATTAAGTGGCAAACGTTCCTTTGTTTACTTACGGGGTCTCCCCTAAGTCAGCCACTCTTAGCCAGCTCCCCCCTCCCCCGCCCATTTCCAAAAGCTCCTATTAGGATGAAAGAATGTTTCAGGCGAAGCAGGTTGGTGGTCATTAGTAGGCAGGTGGCATGGTCCCTGCTACTCCTTTGTTTCCTCTAATTATCAATTCTAAGAAGGCAAAAGGAAAACACAGGGACTTTTCCACATCAGGCTGATATGTAGCAGGCCCGCTGTTAATCCCTGCGCACAGCCTTATAACGGACACATTTCCACCCTTTTTTAATTTCACTGCTTCAGAGGACAGCCAGGATACTTACACAGCTCCCCTAAAGCATCCATTCTCAGGGAATGCACCTTGAGCCCCATGACCAGGGAAAGCAAAACAACCGTTAAAGTCAAAGAAGGATGAATTTGCTAGAGAACAAAGTGGGGTGGGGTGGGTGCACTGAGAGGAGCTGGAGGGAGAAAAGGGACGGGACAAGCGATGTAATTATACTCTAATTTTTAAAATCATTAAAAAATGAGACAAAAGGACTGTCAAGCTGTGATGTTCATCTCGCTTGTGTTTGATATGACCCCGTGGAGTCCCCTGGGACACAGAGAAACCCAGTCCTGATATCTGGTTCTCACTCAGAAAGTGTATTAGTTACTTCTTTCACTACTATGACCAAACACCTAAGAAGTAGTACCTTACAGGAGGATAGATTTATTCTGGCTCACAGTATGAGGTGGAAACAGTTCATTCTGATGGGAAGGCAGGGTGGCAAGAGCATGAGGCAGCCAGCCACACTGTCAGCACTCAGGAGACAGAAGTAGACAAATATTGGTGCTCACCTCACTTTCCCCTTTGCAGTCTCATGGAACAGTGCTGCCTACATTCAGTGTAGCTCTTCAGTAGCAACTGGATCTAGCAAGGACACTTTCACAAGCAAGGACCAGCACTGAGGTTAGAGGATTATGGAGATGACAGGAACACCTAGTAGCCTTGACAGATCCTGAAATACCTCAGGACCTAGAGGAGTCTTCTGCCGAAAGCTTTTGCATTGCAATTCCCAAAATGCTATGGCTATCTGTAGTCATCACTACCAGGCAACGGGGCAGGCATTAAAGTCAAAGAATGGAGGTCCAGAAATAATCTCCATCTCCTAGTAGCTTTCAGCTTTATGCTGTCCATAAGGGAGATTACCTAGTGCCTGTGCGCGCAGTAGTCAGAATGAGAATGGCCTCCCTAAACTCATATGCTTGGTCTCCAATTGCTGGAACTGCTTGGGAAGGACTTATTAGAAGAGGTGCATGAGTAAATTCTTACTGAAGGAATTTTTTAATTGGGCATATTTTCATTTTCTGTGGAAGGTACATAAACACCACAGAAAGTTAATTGGTTAATATTTGAAACAAAGGTATTGAACCAGTGAACCAGCATTAGCTGAGATGTTCCATAACAGAAATTAACCACTGTTAATTCACAGAAGTTTTCACTAGGTGCAAGTTGCACTATTTAGTTTTACAATAGGAAGGCAAAATATGCTATCCACCATGTTTAAATGTAGCCATTTATTATTTTATTGCTCTAACAGCTATTTTTGTGCATAGGCAATTTTATTACATTTATTGAATACATTATCCCAAGTCACTGATATATATATGTTTTTCCCAAAGAAATAATTCCTACAGTAGAATGCTACAAGTTCAAATTTATCATGGGGGTTATGTAAGGCATCTACCATCTACTAGTTTGTTACAAGCTGAGGCCTCCAGGCCCCAAATGACTTGCGTGTGTATAAAATGCCTACTAGTGACCAGCTGTCCCCAAACTGAAATCTCCTAACTCTTAATTATGTTCAATCCACAACACCTCTTAAAACCTACACAGCTTAAGAAAAGACACATCAAGGTATAAAGGGCTTTGTGAGACTCTCTGGGGACTTGTGAAGGCGAACAAGGCACCATTGATGTTTGCAAGGAATTCTCAGGCTCAAATATTGAGCTAAAAAGATCAGTAGGTACTTGGACTCCAAACTGGAAAAAATATGCAGAGACACCTAAAGAGAATGGCACCTGCAGGTGCTGCATGCTCCGTGCTTACAGCATGACTGTGCTCCACAGACTTTGGAGCCTGGGTAAATAGTATTTTCTCAAATTTCCATTTGCTAAAGTGTCAAATCCTCACCTCTACCTTGACTATGGTTTTAATAGTAAGAGGGAGGAAATACCTGACAGTAAAGTATTCCCCTCTAGCCAAACACCTGTTTTTTACCTCCCACATGGAAGACTCACACCCTCTCAACTCTGTTTTGCTTTCCCACGTCAAGACTCCTACCCCTCTTGGAACTACTCCCTTGGTGCAGGGAGAACAGATGCAAGGAACACAGATGCAGAGAGAAAGAATGAAGGGATGGAAATGTCTTACTGCATGACCTATTTTTATATGACAAGAAGAGTCTCTTTCCCCTGTGTCACTTTCATTTGCAACATTATAGCTCTTAGAAGTTGCAGTTCAAAGCCCAAGTTCTGGCAGTAGGGCAATAAGTATATATTCTAGTGTAGCTTTGATACAAGCCCCGAGTCTCTAGAGGATTTTTAGAGACTCTGCTGTAGAATGATGCCCTTGCCATCTCTTGTATTCCATACACATGATGACTAGTGAAGTCCCAAAGTTTCACAGGCACCATGTTTACTTAACACATGTTACCATGCATGCATGAGCAGGTACACTCACCATACCTCAAGGTCTCCTCTAGACTGCACTGATGGCTGATGTAAGGTCCGACTCAGAGCACAGATAAATCTAAGAGCTTGCATAAGCCACTCTTTCTCCTTTGCAAAGACAAACAATATTCTTGAGACTTTGGAGTGTGTGTGTGTGTGTGTGTGTGTTTTCTTAGCAAGGAATTTACTTCATGCTGGATAGAACTCAAATTTATTTTCTTTGCTATCAGAATAGGATGCATCCCAGAAGAGTCTTTCTGTTGTGACAGGTCACATGTGTTTTCAAGTCAGTCTTACTAAACATTAAAAAATACAGTTTTAGAAAAGCTAGATTTTTATTTCCTCATACACAGAAATTTTATACTGTATAAAACTCTTTGAATGAAAAACGCACA